ACACACACACACACACACATACACATACACAGTAATATATGTTAATATAATGGGTTGTTTCCACTTATATGCGCTGTTCTGGAGGTTAAAATAGAACCCACGGGTGTAAAAATGTGTAAATATTTGTCTTCCCTCTTGAATAGATTCACGGTGTGCTGTCGCTGTTTGCATTACACACACACACACACACACACACACACACACACACACAAGTTAAGCTCTCTCTTTCTCAGACTGTAATCGAAGCCGCATGCTTGGCATTTGGTCGTCCACCTTCCTCCTCTTTCCTCGTTTCCTGCATTTTGATTTCACTCTCTCTTTATCCCTCTTCTCATTCATGCACACATCTTTTTTTGTTGTCTGTTTTGTTGTTGTTTTATAACAGTTTGTCCAAACCATCGGTGTCGTTATAGGTTGTTTTCCTCGTCTTGCTCTTCACGTGTCTCTAATTTAAATGGTTTTCTTCTCTCACACTGGCCGAGTCCCATGTAGCTGAAACTGCAATTGGAAACCTGCTTCTTATTTTGTGTCCCAGCAGAACTTGAAGTTGCATCACAAATGTTTTTGAAGCAGCGAGTTCAAGTGAGGACAGGGCTGGAAAAGTTTAGCTTTGAGTTTGAAATGTATGCGATCCCTCAGGGTAACTGTACATCATTTCTGTTTCTTAAAAGAATGATACGATAATATATAAGCGCGATAAAACATCTCAAATAGAAAGCGTAGCAGACAGTAACACCAAAAGGAGATAAACAATGTACGGAAGTTCATCAGTGACAAAACTGCAGAAGATTTAGGATTTAAAAGTAAGAAAAAGGCGTGTTTGTCAAAATAAATCACATGTTTGTACATGCCGGTGTACTCCTAGTGCCAATTCCAGAAAAGAAAAGAGAAACAAGCGTTACCCACGGGAGGCAACACAAGAGGAAAAGAGTTACCCACCTACTCGGGTACTTGTGTTTTTTGCCAGTTTTTTCCCCAAACTGAATATGACGAGTTAATAAATAAATCTAAAAAGGACGAAAAACTGCACACATGATAAAAGTAATGGCCTGTATTTTTTCATAATCTTTGTAATCTTAATTTCCTCTTAGCAATTTTTATGCATTGAATAAGTGTTTTGCTAACATATATAAATCAGGCCTGCCTACTTTCATAGCCCAGCTCGATAACTGTGACAGGGGATGGGAGACCTTAAAAACACAAGATTATTTCCAGATTAAACTGCTTTAAATAGCTTTTATTTATGAGTGAGTGAGTAAGGGTAGAGCGTGGATGACTATCACTGTAAGTGTGCTGCAGAACTGAGGGGAGGAGGGAGCTTTTCCAGCCGAGCTCAGTGCGGAACAAAACAGAGGCACCAAGGGTAGACTATATTCAAACAGACTTACAGTAACTTTATTACCAGTTACTTTATTTTATATTGAATGAAAGTAATGCAGTTTTATCTTATTTCACAGTTTAGTTTGGCTGAAACGATAACTGCCTCCATGCCGGCGACTGCTGTAGCAGGAGGAATGATGTTTTCTGAATCCTGGCACCGACTCAGAAACGAACGATGTCATAACGTTCTGCAAATGTTCTGCAAAAACACTTTAACTACATGGTATAATAACTTCAGAACAGAACATTGTGATTCTATTTCACTTTTGAATCGGTGACACTAATGTTTGATATCCACCTTTTAAAGTTTGTGGCTTCTTGGCATCGACGTCCATATTTGAACCCGTGTACACTTCCATTTCTGTTAAATTGCTTCAATTATCCCTTCATACATGTACATGTAGTGTTTCTGGACAGACCGGATATAAACTGGCTGGTGGTTTTTCTAGAAACATTATACAACATTTGTTGTATAATAGCGACTGCGAAGTGAGGACTTCATGGTTTTATCCACTGTTTATTGCTTTAAACTGAGTTTGTTTGGGTTTATCTGATAGGATAAGACATCAATGTTCTGTTTTCCTTTGTCTTGGGGACCAAAACTGTTGAACTTGGTGGTCTAGTCTGCATGTTTTCTGCATGCTGAGAGGAGCAGAGGAAGGCCTAATCTCCAGCATACTTTGCTTTGGCTGCCTTTTGTTTATTAAAGTCATAACAGCCAATCACAGGGGGGAGATCTACACATGCTCACCTGCCTAGGAGATAAGGAATGTGATGATGGGGGATCAAAGGCTGGGAGGAAGAGGGCTTGTCTGCAAACTTCTGTATGTGTTTGGTAAATGTGTCACCACACTGAGAATCAAACACACACTTAAAGAGAAGCTGTGATTAGTGGGGGAGAGGTTTGAGTATTTGATTGGCTGCTTTAGTCTTCTCTGAGGGAGAGCTGAGGGAAACCTCAAGGCAAGGTGCCAATAAAGAGTTTAATAGTCTGTAATTACAGACTGACGGCCGTAGGCTCCCGACGATGTGGCTTTATGTAATTATCTGTCTGATTCCTCCTGCATGTCTGTGACAGGAGTTCAAATTAAACATCCTCTGAAAATTCATAGTGCTTTATTTCTCCTCCCTGCAGCACTTCTCCGAGCTGCTGGACGACCTCTCGCAGGATGCTTTGCTGGGTCAGCTGCTCAGCGACCCCTTCCTGTCCGGGGGGAGAGACTCGGTGGAGTCCATGGAGGGAGACGACGACGCCGACCTGTCCCCGTCTTCCCCTCTTCCGCCCCACATCACCGCTGAGCACAGCTACTCGCTGTGCGGCGACAGCCGACCCCAGTCACCCCTGTCACACCTGACCGGAGAGCACGGCAGCGAAGCAGGTGAGATGCCAACACAAAGATTGTGGCTTTAAAGGACAACCAATCAAAAGCACCGGGGTGCTTGTCCTCAAGCTCACAGTGATTATTAATCACAGCTGTTGGTTTTAAAGACTTTTTATTTTTTGATACAAATCATATCGCTGGGATTAAAAGTGTAGTTAAAATGAACTTCACTGGGAGAAAGTGGAGTCTCACTGGTCTGGCCCACTTAAACTCAAAATATGTGGCTCGTGATGTAAAATCCCTGCTTTGATTCTCACGTCATCACACTGAGAATCAGACCAGAATCAGAAGAAGAAAGAATAAAAGACAGAAAACAGTCAAACAGCATCTTACCACTAAATCTGCTTTATCAAGGCTTTTATAGCTTTTATTGTGAAAGGACTTTAAACAAAAGTTAAAACTCAAAAGTTAAGATTGCTAATGAAGCATTAATGCTCTATAAACCAGTATTTGTTACCCGTTACTGTAATATTTATGGAGCTGCTCTACTACTGTTGTTGGTAAGTGTTGGTATTATTGTGTGCAGTGGTAGATAAACCTTAATCTAATCTAATCTCATTGGTAAAGAGCACTAACAGGAGCACGCTTTGCCTCCTCTGCAGCTGAGTCCGATGGCGATTCAGCCGAGTGGCCTATGGAGCAGGAGGAAGCCATTGAGAGCCTCCTGTGTGAGACTCCCTCCCTGCTCCCCACGCTCTCCCTCTCTCTGGCCACCGGTGAGGGGCCCCAAACCTCAGAGGGTTCGGCCCTGGCCCCTGCTGCCACCTCGGTTCAGGTCACAGTGAACCAGAGCAAAGCCATCAAGGTGAGAAACGATGGTTAAATCAGATATTTGTGCTCTTTTCTTCTTCTTTTTTTTAGTGTTTGTAACATTTTAACACCTCCTGTTTCTCTTTTCCTCTGTTTGAAGATAAAGGAGGAGAAAATCAGCCCTAAAATTAAACTGGAGCCTCATGAAGTGGACCAGTTCCTCAATCTCTCACCAAAAGGTCAGTTCTTTCCTCTCCTCTCTTTCCACCTGTTGCACTTCTGTAATGGTGTGCTACGAGGACCCCTGCTGGTGATTTGTTTAAATACCTCACATCTGAGTTTGAAAACCCCTGAGCATCAAAAATGCTTTCTAGATTTTAACTTTTATAATTTTTCTCTGTTTTCTCTGAGACTTAATGCATAGCTAACAATCCAGCCGCTGTGTTTTAGATCTGGAGTCTCTGCAGATGCCTCCCACTCCCCCGAGTTCCCACAGCAGTGACTCAGAGGGCAGCCAAAGCCCCGTTCACGCCCCGCCTGGCCTCTCCTGCCCCACATCCCCCACCAGCCCCCCTCCATCCCAGGCTGGCCTGAAGGTGTCACCACGAGGTGCTTCGTCCTCCCTCTCCAACTCGCCTCTGCTCACTGCTCCTCATGTAAGATTAAAGAAAAGCCCATCAAACCTCAAAGAGAGCAGAATAGCAGAGTAACGTGTTTCCAGCTGATGTAATTAAAATAACTGGGGTTTTTTTGCATAATTTTCCTGCTGTTTTTGCTCTGCAATCCATGAATATTACTGGACGTTCCACCTTTTCCACTCCTTTCATATCCCTTCTACAACCTAATGTATACGTACAGACTCTCGTGCCAAAAAAGAAGTTATAGTGTAAAATTTACAAGCATATTTTTAGACATCCTCCCTCTTTACAAAGTTGTAAACAATGTTAATATTGATTATCTGTTGTTTCCTGTAGAAACTGCAGGGTTCTGGGCCACTGATCCTGACCGAGGAAGAGCGCCGCACGCTGGTGGCTGAAGGTTACCCTGTTCCCACCAAACTCCCGCTCACCAAAGCTGAGGAGAAGGCACTTAAGAAGATCCGCAGGAAGATCAAGAACAAGGTGCCGATGTAGAGCACAGTTTGTGTTTTGGATGATCTGAGCAAGCGTCCATGATCACAAGAGTCTAAAAGACTAGGAATATGTTTAGTGCAAGTTAGAACAAAATAGTTTAAAAAAAAACAAGAAAATATTTGTCATGTCAGGCGAATTTCAGATTTTTCTACTTTTTCTGATTCTGTTTCCTTCACCATCTCTCAGATTTCAGCTCAAGAGAGTCGCAGGAAGAAGAAGGAGTACATGGATGCTCTGGAGAAGAAGTAAGTCCTTTTTTCCTCTTTCTTCTTATCATGTGAAAAACAATGTCAGGATCACTACAAATAACAAACAGCTATTAATGCTGCATAAACTTTAGTGTCCCCTTTTAGAAAAAATGTTAGGTCATCTAAAGTATCCACATTCAAACATCATCAGGGTGAATCTCGGCATTACCGAGGTGTGCAGAGTGAAAGCAGCTGTTCTTAAACTACAAATAAATCATGCTAGAGTCAGAACAGGGAGAAAGTGGTGCTGATGAATGAACGGCGTTCAGTCACTGACCCTGCAGTACTGCTGTCTGACCACAGGGTGGAGACCTGCTCCAACGAAAACAGCGAGCTGCGCAGGAAAGTGGAGACTCTGGAGTGTACAAACAAGTAAGAGCAGCACACACGGACTCACAGTCTTAACCTCGTATAGGATTGATTTATTGCACAGTAACGGACCCATTTTAGACCCTTAACTTCTGAAACTACATAAAAATATAAAATTACCACATAGAAGTTAATTATTTCCTGCAAGATGCTTTTAAATTGCCCCTATTGGTCAAACATCAAATTCTCCCTCCTCTTTTGGCCTAAGGTAGGTAAGTAAACTGTCTTCAGAAGCACTTCCAGCAGTTCCAACGAGGAATTTTTCTGAATTAGAGAACGCGAGCACAAAAACAAAAGGATAAATGAGGTGGTAGTCCAGTTATTTGGGCTCTTTATAGATTCAGCTTGTCAGTGGCGACACAGATGAGTGAGCGACAGGGGCGATGACAAGTGTGTCATAAAGACTCTGGGATGGTGACAATCAAAACACCAGGAAAGTCACGAGGGAGGACGGGTTCACACCTAAAAATGTCCCTCCCTGGGCGCGTGCTGGATTTAACACATCCTTGGGGATTTGGCTTTTTTTCCCTCTCCCTCTGTCTTTGTGAATCTCTAAAGGCATCTGTTTTTATTTCACGCAGTGCAGCTGAGAAAAGCACAGAGAATGAGTGGGGAAACACTGACTCGCTTTTATTATTTGCAAATAGAGCTGAATCAAAAGCTCCCCGTGGATGTGTTCAGCTGCAATTTTGCATCCATGCATAATCATGAGGCTATTTTAATGTGAAAAGCTCACCCTGCATCGGATAGACAGCGCTGTTTGCTCTCGTTATGCATGGATGAACCGTGCGTGCACCCACTGAGTGCACTGTGTTAAGTATAGCTGCCTGGAACACAGCTGTTCTGGGGCTTGTTTTGCACTCAGTGGTTAAAGTGGGCTTTGCTGTCAGTGTCAAAAACTTAATGAACCAGTTGCATGCGTGGTGTGAGTGTGTGTTTTTTATTCTGGGACACCTGGACAGCCAGCTTATGTTGTCGTTAAGCTTAGTTCCTTATTTAATGAAGCAAACGAGAAAGCAAAATTTCAGAAAAATGTTTGACTTGTGCAAAAATAAACAGCAGATTCTTCACTAAAGTGCAAATTCTGGATTTTATAATAAGGATGCTGATGTAATTTACTGCGATATCATTCACATTAACATGCAGAATGTGTGGACGCACAATTCAATCAGTTTGCATAACTTTTATAGACTGTATATAAAAGATGGAAGCCACCATGAAGTCACCCAGTGGGTTTGTACTCTATTTTGAAACTTGCCACCTTGTTGTTTTTAGTGCCATTAAGGCAATTCCTTCAAAAAAGCTCAAACAACACAAACAAAGAAGAATGGTACAGTTAAGCAACTCCGATTAGCAAATACAAGGCCCGGTACTAGTGATGGGATTTCCGGCTCTTTTTAGAGAACCGGCTCTTTCGGTTCAACTCACTAAAAAGAGCCGGCTCTTTCGGCTCCGAACCGGCTCTTTCGGCTCCGAACCGGCTCTTCAGGTTGTTTTGTTGCTTTAATTAATTTATTATTAACAATAATATAAAATTATGCACAAAAGGAATTACTAACGTAAAAAAAGTGGTTTTATTTATATATGTTTATATATAAATATATGCGGTGGCCCCTAGAGACAAAATTATATTATTATTATACACAGACACTCATATATATTCAAATAATTTAAAAACAATGTTCATTTACCTGTTACTACACCACACCAAATCCAAACACCTAGCATCCTGGAGCACTTCTGTTGTCTTTTGTACGTGTTTTGGAGTTTGTACGTGTTTTTATGTGTTTTTACGTGTTTTGGAGTTTGTACGTGCTTCAGAGTTTGTACGTGTTTTTACGTGTTTTGGAGTTTGTACGTGCTTCAGGGTTTGTACGTGCTTCAGAGTTCGTACGTGATTTGAAGTTTGTATGTGCTTTGTCTGTAGGGGCCACCGTAAATATACTTTTATTTATTCACTCCACATAAAATGTAATAACTAAATCATATAATACAAAAA